ACACACACACACAATCAGCAGGGTACATATTGTGTACATTTTAAAAGTGTGTTGCTTTGTTTGAAACACACTGCTTATAAGGTAAAAGGTAAACCTTTCTCCAGTTTTTTGCTTAATTGGAAACTTGCAGAAAAACTTGCCTCTAGGTACAGTTGGATTTTTGTGTTCAGTGTGTAAAGTTTTCTGCTTGTTACACTTACACACTAGTTTAATTCCATCCAACATCAATACATGCTGTTCTATTATCCCACTTTAAAAATGTAATCCGATATAATTACTAATTAACTGTTTAAAAATGTAGTCATTCCCATAATACCTTTAACATAACTTGATTACTTTCCGTTACTTTTGGATTACCTCAACACCAAATATTAAAGACCAACATGTCTTTACATAAGTGTATTCTATAAGACAACAGAACAATGTAACCTTTGAAAAGAAAAGAAAAAAATGGAAGATTTTTAGCATAAAACATGTGTCCTCTGCACTTTTTATTTTTAAAGAGAAAAGGATGTATTTTAAAATGTAATCCTGCAAATAATCCCCGTTTTCACTATAAGTAACTGTAATCTGATCACATGTTCTTTCTGTACCTGTAATGGATTACAGTTACCTTTCTTTACTCAGTTACATGTAATCCGTTACTCCCCATTAACCCTGTTGAGTGGCGCTCACAAGTTGAATAATGAAAGTTCTCTGGAAGGACTTTTGGGATATGGCTAACACCTGTCTGTTTCTGATGACTGTGTCGCAGTTGAACCCAGACAAAGCTCTCGTGAGGTGGACCACAGCCGGTTGCTGCGCGTTACGGATCAATCACGCAGTAACGTGACGTAACGTAAGGAGCGATACACGAGGCTAGGGGCGCGAGACGGCAGCGCACGGGGAAGTTTCGGTCCGCAGCGGAGTCTCTCGGTGGAGGTGACTCTTGAGGAGGAGTAGCGAACCCATATGCGAGATGTTACAAGGCCATGATTAATTTGCGAATAAAGCCAACACACGTCTTTTAGAGGCAGAAGTCAACCGGATGAATGTGGCTATGGAAGTGGAGGAACAAAACGCGGTGAGTGAACGGCGTCTGCCCTCAACGCGTTGCTGCCAAATATTTAAGTCTTATTGTAGCTAACTTAAGTAATAGTCATTTCAACGTAAATGACGTTCAGTTACAAAAGTCACGGTGGCTACTAGCTAAGTTTAAGCATTAAAATGTTAGCTAACTTGCTGTGTAAAGTTAAGAGGTTCAACCTGCCGGATAACGTTAGCCAGGAAAGGAGTAGCTAGCTAACTGAAGAGTGAAACTTTAAAGAGGTTAAGAAGTCATTCTGTTTTTGTGAAGTTGGAGCTTTTTGGACAGAAAATACTCCGGGTCATATGCCATTGTTCATGTTGGAGGAAGCCTGCAAATAAGCTACAGAAGTTAGTTTTTTCTAGTCAAATACGCTGCACATTTTTGATTGTTTTTTTCTTCTTTTTTGTGCTTTTGTTTTGGTGGTTGATACTCGTTTATTAAATGCCATTGTTTACCGATGTTTTCCATTTACATCTGAGGTGAAACAGTGTACATGAATCTGTTCACTTCGGCCATTTTGTAAGAGTTACTGTTGATTTTCTCTACTGGCTGCAGGTGCATCAACTTTGCCTGACTTAAAAGACTCATAATCTATTGTTTATTATCTTGTTTGTTGGACTTCAATGAGGGATTTTAAGAAGGACCTGTTAATGGTTTCATTTATTCCCCCCCTTTGTTGCTCTGTGGTTCACTACTTTGCTCTGCTGATTTTTCTTTGATCTTGTATCAAGTTAAAACAAAGCTGAGTGTCCTCCAATTTTAAAACTCATTTTGTCTACATAAAAATGGGATTTAGTGCTCCTCATATACAAAATCCCAGTTCTCCGCCAACAAGGACAGGTGGTGTAGTTTCTAACTGGCTTAGAACTGGACCATGATGCCCTGCCATTTTTCTTTTATTCAAGTCCACATCCTGCTGTCCATCCCAGAACGGCAGCAGCTCCTCCACCCCTGATGTTTTACCTCCAGAAAACCACGATGACAGCCTGACCCACCGCCTTGGCACTGTTATCCCCAATCGGATTTTTGTCGGGGGGATCGACTACAAGGTGAGAGCTGAAGACGTGCACTGGCAGAGTGCGTATTTGGGAGGCCTACTGTTACTCAACTGTAATTCCAAAATTCTCCATTAATGGCTTTTTATACCAATGTCTGCAGATGCAAAACATTTTCGGAATCAAAAATAATATCTACTGATGTGCTGTGTCATTTCTATCTCCACTCCCTCTCTACTTGGGATGTCCTTGGCAATTCATTTTGCTGTTGATTAAACGAAAATCTAAACGTAGGCTAGTCGGCTAGTCTAAAAGTAATTCAACACTAAAAAAAACTGATCACAATTTAAAGAACTACACAAACCGCACACACACAACACACACAGCCAGGCTTCACACGTTACTGTTATTTTCCTCAGTATGAGTGACAGCTGTTTTATAATGTGATTACTAGTTTGTAGTTACTCAATGTCGTCATAACCTACCATACTTTGAGTATTTTCTTTTCAACTCCAGTTTCACCATCCTCCTTTCTCTGAATAGTGTAATGTCTAACAGATGTCTCTCGCTGGGGCTGCAGCCCAGCTGTAGTGGCTGCAGAAGGACGACGTTCACCAATGTAGTACATTAATGAAAATTAGTTTAACTGACTAGTATCTCGACTAGCAGGATGAGTGACGTAACCAACTAGTTGACTAATCAGGCACTCTCTACTGGCTAATAAAGACATAAAATCCCAACAGGAATTAGTTTAGTTTTTCTCTGTCAAGACCACACACAGACACACACTTCAGCAATCCAAAGATTGCATAATTTACACAATCTACCATTTAATGAAAATGTTGACTCTAAATTCTGCAGTCAAAGTAACACATCAAGTGTCATTCATAAGAAGTGGATTTTTGGCTTCCAACTATTATGAAAACAAGATAATCGAGGTAAAACGACTGTCATCATTCCGTTTCACACCTTACAGTGGTGCATTTGCCCCTCCCCACCTAAACTCACTGTCAACCAGGCTGTGGCATGTTTAGTTCAGCTCAAGCCAAGATGACGGAGAGCTTTTGGCCGTACTCACACCAATTCACGCATCGCAGACATCAGCCCATGGCTATACAAGGGTGTGGCTGTGCAACTGCTGTGAAAATACAGAAAATAACATTTATTTCTCTAATTCACAGGCTTCCACCACTGCCGCTCCCTCCCTATGCTATTTGAGCAGCACTGAAAATATCACATGCAACAAACGCACACATACTGTATGTAGTGAACTTATGTTGGCTGAGCAGGCAGAGACGCACTATGGCAGTCCCAGAACCTCGTACAAATACGTTGGAGAGCCAAAGCATATGACAGCTCGCAGTGTATGTAAAACAAAATCCTGAATGGTTTGGAGAAAAACTTCAGATGCATCATACAGATAACACTGAATGAAAGGACATGGTGAAGACCATGATGCTGCTGGACATACTTACTACGTTCCCTCCAAAGTTTTACTATGTGCTGTTGCCGGCTCTTTTGAATACTGTATGATTCACTGTACATTTTGTTTAAAATCTGCAGTGCAGCTATCATTGTTAGGATGGATTTAGATCCTCCTGGTTGTACACAACCCTACTAACTGAAATGATTAATTGTGGAGAAGACGAGCCAAACCAAATCACCAAGCCACTGTACATTCTTTTGGGGTGATGGCGTATTCAAACGCGCGTGTGTGTTTTGTGAAGGTCAATGAAAGCGACCTGCGACGCGTCTTCTCCCAACATGGTGCAGTAAAAGAGGTGAAGATTGTGATAGATCGCTCAGGAATGTCAAAGGGGTGAGTTCACAGCATAACTCCTGTCATACAGATGTACAGTTAGAGATTGAACAATAATGCATAGGGATGGGGATCGAAACCCGGGTTTCTATCAACGTTACCCGGTTCCACTTTTTTTCAAAACCCCGAAATCAATACGTTGGGCCTTATCGATACCACTTATCGGGAGTCTCGTCGTTTTTTTTTTTCTCCAGTAGGTCCCTTGTAACGTAAATTGTCGTGTTCCCTCGGAGTCGCACTTCACGGCATTTCAATCTAATCATCAATCAGTGCAGTGGGTAGTTCCACCAATGTTTTGGGAATGAAATTGGGGTAGCAAACAGGTGTTAAAAGGTAAAATAACGTGAAGTCTGGGGCAGTTACTTCGGGCTCGCGAGATGGCTGAACGGGGGAAAACGGTCTACAGGTTTGGCCTTCATCTTTACCAAGCTCAAGACAAGGAGAAGCGACTGCCAAACTTATGTGCAAAATCATTTCTTGTAAAGGGGGTTGGGGGAAACACACCTCAATGCGCCAAGCCAATTAGCCCCTTGTGCATCAAACGAATAAAGGCCAATGCGTAAGTTGCCTTCGCTGTCTCCGGGTTGAAACAAGCTCTGCCGGCCGCACCACGACGGGCCCGGTTTTCATCTCCACTCCCAGCGTACCAGCGGGCAGCGCACACAGACTTTGTATTGTCCCATCAGGTGTAAAAATCAGTAATTGTGAAATCCGTGGTTGTAATCGGCGCGGCATACAAGCCTAGTTACCTTTGAAAAGTAAATAAAGTTTCGAACGTGCCTGGCGTGATGCATGGTGTTCAGGTTGGCTCAGTTAAATTGGTTAATATTTCATATTTTTATTTGGTTGCTGTACTACTCTTTCATATTGTTAGTTCAGTTTTATGTCATTTCGAAGTGGGGCCCTATTAATTAAGCCATGTTTGTTTGGGGAATGGCTGAAACGTTTTTGTTTGTTGCTCACTGTTTTAAGCAATAAAAGGCACATACCAGGTCCGAGGAAAAGGCAATACCAGTCTTGGTTAAAACATAATTGGTCGGGGCGTAGTCTTTCCACCAAATAATTAGAAAAGTATCGGATAGTGGTATCGTAAGACTCGGAGTCGACTAAGGAGTATCGATAAAGGTATCGATTATCAATAATATATTAACAATCTCCATCCCTAATAATGCTGGAAGTCTGTGACTTGTCCTTTGACTTTTGCATCATTTACTGTTAAAGCATAGGTTGTCTTTATTCTGTCTTTGAACAGATATGGGTTTGTTACATTTGAAACCCAAGAAGACGCAATGAAAATCCTTCATGACGTAAGTAAAGCAGACCTCCAAAGTACCTATCTATTAATGTTGATCTACTGGATATATTGTCTAATGTGGCACCTATTCCCTCAACTGCTATATTAAAGGTTAATGGCATCTGTTTCAAAGACAAGAAGCTCAGCATTGGTCAGGCTGTCCGCAAGCAGCAAGCTTCAGGACAAAGTAAGTCTAAACATGGGAAGATGCTTTCGACATACGGGCTCTAATTGCTTTCAAGTGATTTTGCCACGTTTCAAAATGCTAATGGTAGCTTTTTTGATGATGTTTCTGAAGGTTTTTAAAAACCCAGTAATAGGCACAGGGTTACTGTGGTGTTCTTCTTTCTCCAGATAAGAGCTACCGTTTGGGCAGCACTGACTCTGCCATGCCTCTGCCGGTGTCCTGTGGCAGCCTGTACCACACCACGTCCACAGGCTATCCGTACACCTACCACAACGGAGTGGCCTACTTCCACTGCCCCAACATGAAACCTCCTGCCCACCATTGGCCTGTCAGTTCTCACTGATATCACATCCACGTAACACTTGACTTCAATATTAAACAGCTGATCATTTAAAAACCTGCTTGACATTTTAAGTCTCGCATTAGTTAACACCAGCTGTTCATATTAAAAACTTGAAAATGAATTCCTCAGTGAAAAGATCCACTAATGTGGCGTATCGTTTACCACAGATTTATTAGTGCTGGTTGACCTTGCTGGTCGGTAGTTCTTACATGGCAACATTCAAGTCAGCTGCAACACAGCGCAGGAATGCAATATTGTGGCCAAGGTGCACTGGCCAAATGGCTAGTGAATGGTCAAGAAAATGTGCCTATTTCACCAGAATTTTGTTGGTGGCTAGTGCTAGTTTTGTGCCCCGATTCTGGTGCTCCATGGGGGGGGGGGGGGGGGGGGGGGGGGGGGGGGGGGGCCAAGGCCAGCTGGTAAGAAAGAGTTTTGAGGTTTTTTGTTTGTTTTGTTGGTTTTTAGCTTGTTAATAAAGAAAAGGGAAATAAAATCCAGCCAGAAGCATACACTAGCTTGGTGCCTTTCTTTGAAGTGGTTGACTATATAACCGTCACGTCAGTGTTAGTGATAAATTACATTTTATACTCTGTTAGTAATACTTTTAACTAGGCCTGCAACTAATGATTTTTTGTTTTTGTTTTGAAGAACCCAAACCTTTAGCCAGATAAAGCCATTTGTTGCCTTGGTATGCATCCCAATAGATCTTTTGATCCACGTTTCAAGACTGAATACATCATAACAGGTTGTCCCACTCAAAATTGAATTGGAGCCGCTGGTAAATAGGGTTATATTGATGTATTTACAAGGCAGGGCAAGCCAAATGGGTAGTGACTAGCATATTAAGCTCATTACTGGTCTCACAGTCTTCAAAATATTTTTAGAAAAATGACTGCAATCTATTGGGTAGCGCAGTTGGTAAAGGCAGAATGTTTGACAGACCATTGTCATTATATTCTCCAGCGGCCTGCTCCCCCAGTGATGCTTCCTCCATCTCATCAGCCTGTCTACCAGCAACCAGCCTATCACCACTACCAGGTCAGCTCATCCCTTTATCGATCCATTCATTTCTCATCTCACTATGTAGCAAGTACAGCAGGGGTTTGAACTATTTAACAGTCTGCTGTCTTGTTACCTCCCCCTCTCCGCAGTGTGTCCCAAACCAGTATCAGTGGAATGTCGTCCAGGTAGGCAAAATGAAGCCATTACTGCTTTTATTTCAGTAGAATTTGGCCAGTTGTTCAGATGTTATTGTTTTGTTGTTCAGCCGCCGATGCCCTCCAGTCCAGTCGTGTACTCCCAGCAGTCAGAATATCTGTACCAGCCCGCCAACGGAGGCTCTCTCCAGCCTCCTCTGCCTTTCATGGAGGACGTCACACCGGAGGTATAAACTCACCAAGAAAAATCCAAACACAAGTACAGCCATGAAAAGAGTTGAATATTATTGCTGCATGTTTGTTTAATCATGAATCTGCTCCCACAAGTAATTTGCTCTTGAATATTTAAATACTGATGTTATGGAATTGGTATGATTTTTAAGAGCTAGAAAATGTTTATTTCATTTTCCAGCTGTCAAACTTCCTGTTTCCTTCCTGCTTTTTTGAATGTGTCCACACTTGAAGTGTTTCATTGTGCTTCTGCTGGTTATATGGGTGTTCAGTAAACGTGTTCTGAACTGGAGCTCACTTTAATCTGTTTTTGTACTTCTGCAGTTTATAGATCCCATGGGGCAGCAGGTTTACCCACTGTATCCTCAGAGAGCAGAAGGAATGGCACCCATTGTTCTACAACACAACCCTGGAAAGGTAAAAGGCTGTTTTTAGCTTCGACTGAATTTATCAATTAAATAAGCTTTCACTACAATGACAGCATCACCAAGTCTGCCTAGCTTCTAGTGTAAAGACAATCAAGAGTTAATGATGGAAATCTTGTACTAATAGAACAGTAGACTGTGTTAACTGAAATACAAGGCTGGGTGTTAGAATCCAAATGAAACCGTTTGGAATTCATGTCTTTAGGACTGGACCACTGTTTCTCTTTTAACTCTTTCAATGTTTGTGTGTTCCTCTCATTTCTGCAAACCCTCACTGAGTTTTCTTTCTCTGCAGAATCCGATGTTTCCACACTCTCAGGTCCATCTGAAGCCAAAGTACCACCGATACATAGACCACAAGGACTATCACTACCTGCCAGACGCAACAGAGCCACCGGACGCCTCCGCGCTTCATGCTTCTCAACCTCTCATGTAGACCCACGGACAGCTTCACAAAGGGAAAAAGTCCCACACCGCACCACAACCACTCGTGGCAGTTCAGTCCCTTCCTCTTCCTTCTCCGTGGATTTAATACACATGATCTATCAACTGTTTAACCTGTGCCTTACAACATAATGCAGTATGTTTTTTATGACGTGATTTTGTAGCCTCTTCGTTGAGATGATCATTTTGTCTGTTGCACTTCCCACCAACTCACCACAACCAAGGTAAGCTCTCAGGACTCACTAGACTCCCAGCGAAGCACTCAGATCTGTTTCTGTTAAGGATGCACCGATTGGGGAAATTCTGGGCTGATGGTAATGTTTGAATTCCAATTTGGCTGATATTAATTTTGGGGTTTTTTTGTTATTTATTTGCCCTTTTGGTAAACTAAAGATGAGCAACTTTGCCTTTGTGCAGCTCAATATATTTCTTTTCTCATCCAAGATCAGCTGAACAGCTGCTCACTGTCCGTGCTGCTGCATGGAGAACATGGAGGTATTTGCGTGCAGTTTATGCCAGTGCTGGAAAACGGAGGTGATTATTTCTCCAATATCCAAAATGAAAATAACAAAACATTTTAACCAGCACAAAATTGTTGTGATGCGCATATTGTTGCATACTTAGTTTCTGTATAAATGGTTTAATACCGTTGGATGGATGATGTTGGCTTTACAGTGTCTCACACTGTATACTGTTCCTTCCAATATTTACAGTGGTTGCGCTTAATTTCTTCTCAATTAACACAAACTTAAGGGTGAGTTTTTCAAGAAGTTTTTATTTTTTATTTTTTCCAAGTAACTTGCCGACGACTGAACAATACATCTTGAATCTCCAAAAATTCCAGTTTACATACAATTAACAAAACTGTGGTCTTCAGAGTCAGATTGAATTATCTATGACAGGAAATGGCTACAGGGATCTTTGTGCTTTTCTGAAATATCAAAATTAATTTCACACATCTTATTTAAATACGGTAAACGGTCTTGAATTTGTTGTCGGATTTATTTTTGATTTTTTTTTTTATTAGATTTGTTTTAATGTACAAAAACAATTCACCACTTAAACCTAAAACTTGACTAAAATCAGTGAACGGCATTGCTATGTTGTTGCAACAGAAATGTCCTAGCTACATGCACACAAGCACCATGATGAAGCTGAGAATATCAGAGATCTTACCATGTCAACTCTTTCTTTACCTTACTGTGCGAAGAAGCAGTGCTTTACATCCTTTGCGGCTCAGTGACCATTTATTCAGAAGGATATGTAAAAAGTAGCACTATTGAATTTACATTAGAGCGTAGTTGTTTAAGGCTCCTTGAGCTGAGTCAGTCCGAACAGTATTGGAATGCTCTGAGTGAGCTGCTGCATCTTGTTGCCTCTGCTCGCCTTTATCAGTGCTGGGACCTTTCAGGATCCTCTGATCCACTGTCTGGTCCTCAGCATGTTAATTTTAGAGCAGTGCGTAAAACATTGTTTTCTACCGTTTTTCAGTATGATGATGTGGAGAAATGTCTGCAGTGTTGTTACCAGACTGTGGCCTGCGTTTAATAATTTAGAACTAGCAAGAGGCAGCTATGTTCAAGCAGTACAGACTTAACAGCAACATGATAATTTAGTATATTCTACAGGAAGCAGACTTACTGTTGGATGTAAAAGTACATATTTAGCAGTTTTGGCCTTCTTCACAGCAGCCATTTTGACATGAAATAATAGGGTAAATACAGGTCCTATCAGTGATGGTAATTAAGGTTCTGTTCTGTTCTACTCTAAATGGAACTGAACTTTCATAGTATCATTGATAACACTGTTTAACTACTATTTCATGTCAAAATGGCTGCAGTGAAAAAGGTCTATTACTCCTTTTTAAAAAGTACTAGTTTTGTATATCAGAAATCATATTTTTATATGTGGAAGTTTGCTTAAGACAACAATCCGTAAGGAGCATAAAAGATATTTGAGTAATAATAAATCTGCAGTTTGCATTTCTACGCATGCAGGGACAGACTTGTAATGAAAGAAAATGAAAAGAGCGACTCCGCCTCAAGGTAGTAGGGCTTTGCTAGCACCATGCTTTTAAAGCGGCTCACCCCGATTTGGTCATTATTTCGGACAAGAAAATCCACTGGATTTGACCTGTGCTTTCTCAATTGTCTTTTTTACTTTTGAAATTCTTTCAAGTGCTCATAAGTACATATAATTTTAGAGCAGATGAGAACTCAACATGCACAAAACCTATTTGGATGGATCACTTTGTTACTGCACTCTCAGAACATGACTGCAGATGGATTAAATCTTGTTTTTCTTTTTTTGTGTGTGTGCTTGCTCAGTAGTTTTATGTAATTCAGTAACTTTTTAGACAAGGACCATTTTCTCAGAGCTAATGTGTTTCATGTCCGTGTAAATTAGTTGGTCAGTAACGTTCTAAAAGTTCAGATTGTGCTCATGTTCTGTAGTTACAGGTTATGATCAGTTTCCAGATGCTTTAACCAGCAACATCAATATATCACATTTAAAATAGATTTTATTACACAATATTCTCATAAGACATTTTTTTTACTCAATGCTAAATGCTTAATTCCCCTTGTCATATTATTTTGCTAATAATTTGGTAAAATGTACCAAAAAATTCAAAATCTGCAGGAATCCATTTGAGTTTTTCAGTGTGCTCTTGATGTTGCTGTTTGTCTTATTGTATTTTCAACTCCACTGATTTTGTCTGGGGCACACTAAAAATAACCTAAAATATTTTTGTAATTTGTTTTGTTAAAGAGATGCAGTATTACAGAGTTAAGTAAGTACCGCACATTTCACATAACCACCGATCGCCCGCTATGTTTTACCATTATTTTAATTGAGTGTGTTTCCCATTCTTGAATGGAAATAAACGTTTCCCTTGGTGTAGTGGCTGTGTTCTGCGTTCATATGCAACAATACTGCATTATTAATTGATTGTATGTCAGTGAATGTTAACCAGTGGATGCCTGAAAGGAAAGAAAGTACATTTAACAATCTCAAATTTCAGCATGTTTTGATTGATTTGATTTAAAGAAAATCTAAAATTTACATTATCTAATTGGGTATTTCTTTTAGGGAGTACTGTATGTAGTATTGGATTTCAATAAAGATTGGGGGACTCACATGAGACAAATTTTAGAGGGTGGTCAAATTCAAACCAGCATAGTCCAAGATATCCTTCATTTCTGGGCCATGTTACAGAAACACTACTACATTTCCCATAAAACAACTTGATAGCATCTCTTGAGCAACCCCCCAAGCAAACCACGGACCAGTAATAACAGTAGTAAAATACTACTTCACCAAGCCCAAGCCAAAATATGACATCATTAAGGGTTTTTGACTAGAGTTAAATTGTAAAACCTGTGGAGTTTAACACTGATGCAACAATGCTGCTAGAAAGCTAAACATTGATTGGGACCAGGGAAACACTAAACATTACCAAAAACTCCTATGGTATAATAAGAGTGAGGGGGCAATAATGTGCCAGCCTAGGCCGTGGGCATTGATGAATCAGGGGTTTTATCTGAATGGGATCAAGACCTTGGCAGGGTGGCAAAAGCACCAAATGCCGGCTCATTAGAATGACAAAAGAGTGAATTGGATTGAGGTTTTTAAAACAGCCATGTGTCTCTGTGTCAGCTGTCTGCATGATGAACGTTATACTGTATAGAGTGACTTTTCAGCAGAGGTAGTGTTAAGATTTGAAAGCAACCTTACAGATGTATTTAATGTTAGACTGTAATGCACAATATTAGCCTCTAATACACCAAAAAATTTACCTCAAAACTATATGAAATTTAAAATAGGCTACCAATTGATATGTAAAACCTTTTTTATTTATTTTAATTAACAGCAACAGATGCTAATCTTGTACAAGCACCCGAAATTTCCTGTGATATCAATACATTCTGGGGCCCTGCAAACAGCTCACTTAGGGCCCAGAAAAACCTGCAAAGCATTGAGTCTCTCCTTCATTGTACTTTATTACCATTTATTGAGACTTATTAAACTGAGGTCCATCTGCAGTACATTTGTGTGCTTCTATATATTGTATCATTACTGCTCTCCCACATAATCAAGAAAAAATTTCAATTTGAAACAGATATACCCAACAAAAAAGGCACGTTAATACGGAAGCGTATTGCAGTCGCACCTGGACGCAGGTGGAGTTTATAATAATGCACTACAGTGAGGATACAGACTTTTCATAGAGGAGACAGGAGTCTGATGCAGATTTATCTGTTACTAAGGGAGACCATACGCTTCATTGATAAACAAAAAAATGTTGAATAATATTAGGCTTCATGAGCCCATGGCTGAGTGCCTGTTCTTGGCTGTTCTCCCGTGTCCACACCCCCATGGGTGGGCAACAATAGTGTTCACACACACAGAAGGACAGCGGCGAATAGGTACCAGAGAGTGAAGAATTGGCGACAGAGCCCTCGCTGGAGGCTGGATACAGGATTTGGGTTAGGCTTAGGGGGGCTGAGAGCTGGCCCTTGGCATCAAGAGGCATCCTGTTAATCTGGGAAAAAAAGCAGAATTGTTTTTGCAAGTGAATGCAGTACGCCTCCGTACATTAAAGCTTTTATTTGGTTTAACACTAAGCATATAAACCATTATTAGTATACTTAACATGCTCACTGCACACCTATTAATGAGTAATATTCATAATTCATTCAACTATATGAGTAAAGTTTATATGTACCACACAAATAACAGGTTTAAAGTTTTAGATTTGTATTCTGGTTCTGAATCCCTACAGTATATGTGCAGAAAATAGAGGCAATTCTTT